GGAGGTCCAGGGCGTCCTCGCCGTCCAGGGCCGGAGCGGGCAGCGAGCACCCTGTAACCCGCAGGGGAGAGGAGGTTGGCGGGGCGGGCAGTGGGCAGAAGGCGGCACAGCGGGCGGCCGGAGGCTCAGGGTGGCGCCACCTGATGCCGCCAGGGCCTCGCCGTGCGCTCTCAGGTGAGAGACTTCATTTCTCCTCTGAAACTGCTCCGGGGAAAAGGGGCACTGACCCCGGGGGGCTGCCCGGAGGACCCCGGGAGAGGATGGCAGGGAGTGGGCGGGGACCACGCCTCAGAGGACAGCGGGTGTAGACACCTCCAGGTGGGCCGCCTGCCCGAGGACCTCCCTGTGGGGACCCAGCGTGACACCCGAAGCCTGGGCTCTGGACCCCAGCCTGGCGGTCCCCCGGAACCCGGCTAGCCGTGCAGCCCCTCACCCGGCCAGCCCTAGGCTCAGCGCTGTGCGGGTGGAGCCACCGTGCGGCACCAAAGCCCTCCAGGTGACCCTCAGGGGCCCAGTTCCAGAACAGTCAGCTGACCATCATCGGCACTGACAAAACTCGGGTGGGGGCTGGGCAGCCTCCGCGGAAGGCACTGAGGAACCCTGCACACACCAGGGTCGCAGGGACTCGGTACTACAGAAGGCTATGGGCCCCCTGAGGAAATGCACTGACCAAAAATAACCCAAGCAAAGAACACATCGAAGGTGGTCACGGTGGCACACACCTGCAATCCCAGCACTTGGGAGGCTGAGGCAGGAGGAATCCCTGGGTTCAAGGACAGCCTGGGCTACATAGTGAGACACTCTCTTTTTGGTGTTTTGAGACAGGGTCTATGTAGTGCAGGCTGGCCTTGAACTTGCACTGATCCTCCTGCCTCAGCCTCCCGAATGCTGGAATTACAGGTGTGCGCCATCATATCCCACGAGACTTTGTCTCAAAAAAACAACAAAACCCAAGTACGCAAACAACACATCCAATTGACTTCCATTTACAATACATTTGGGAGGACGGTTGAATGAGACCACCGGAAGCAGAGGGAAAACTCCAGCATGTGAGATGTGATACTACAGAGAAACTACAGAAAAACAGACCCACTTCTGCAGCCATCAGCGGCCTCAGGGAAGAAGCGAGGACTTCTCTGGAATGAGGAGACACTGCAGCTGGGCATGGTGGCACACGCCTGTAATCCCAGCACTCAGGAGGCTGAGGCAGGAGGACTGCTGTGAGTTCAAGACCAGCGACGACTGTACAGTAGCCACCAGCCACACGTGGGGTCCATGCTGAGATAGTAACAAAAGACTGTGGCCCAGGTGTATTGTGCCTGCCTGTAATCCTAGCTACTCCTAGTGAAGCTGAGGCAGGAGGACTGCAAGTTCAAGGCCAGCCTGGGCAACCTAAGGAGCTCCTGTCCTGAAATAAACAATAAAAAAGGGTGGGAGTGCAGCTCTGTGGGTAGAGTGCTTTCGAGGTGCTGGGTTCAGTATCTCACTAGTAATTTTCATGATTACATGCTGAAATATTTTTGGTACATTGAATTGCATAATACATATATATTATTCAAATGAATACATATTATTATTATTCATTTATGTCTTTTTAACTTTTCTCCGTGTGGGTATTAGAACATTTCAGATTATATACATAGCTAGCATCTGGGACTTGATTTCCATTTCTATTGGACAATGCTGCTACAGACTTTGTGTAGATCCTGAATCGGAGAACTAATCATCTCATTCAATTCTTCTCACTCTGTAGACGAGAAAAAGCCAAGTACTCCCTGAATTCAGTAGTTCAAAAGAAAGACCATATGAACCTTTCATTCCACTACAATGAAAAGCGTTTTTGTGACAATCAAGGAAATTCAGTTACAGACAAGGTGCTGCCTGAATCACAAAGTATCTGGCTAATTTCATTAGCATTGTGGTTATATGAGGAATGGCTATATTTAGAAAACACATGGAGGGCTGGGGATATAGCTCAGTGGCACAGTGCCTGCCTGGCAGGCTCAAGGTCCTAAGTTTGATTTCTGCTACCAAAAAAAAAAAAAAGAAAGAAGAAAAATAGTCATGATTCTCATATAGATTTAAAAATGCATTAAAATTTGTCAGGTGTGGTGGCGCATGTCTGTAATCTCAGCACTTGGGAGGCTGAGGCAGGAGGATCCTTGTGAGTTTGAGACCAGCCTGAACTACAAAGTGAGCTCAAGGCCAGCCTGAACTGCAGAGCGAGACCCTGTGTCAAAAAGGCAAGAAAAGAAAAGAAAAGAAAACACATGGACCAGGAATATAGCTCAGTAGCACAGCACCCGCCTGGCAAGCACAGGGTCCTGAGTTCGATTCTGGTACCCACCCCCCAAAAGAAAGAAGTATTTACTTGGAAAACATCCTGACAAGTGCAGGGCTGACCTGCTGTGATTACTGCGGTAATCTTCAAAACACCCACAGGGCCGAGCTTAGCACGCACGAGGCCCTGGGTCTGATCTCCAGTGCTGGAGAAAAATAAACACAGTAAAACAGAATGGAGGAGGAGAGAGGAAACGGAAGAAGAGGAAAAAGGAAGACGAAGAAGAGGAAAGAAGGAAGAAGCCGGGCATGGTGGCCCACACCTACAATCTCAGCTCTCAGGAGGCTGAGGCAGGAGAGGATTGCCACAAGTTCAAGACCAGCCTGGGCTACATAGCGAGACCCTGTCTCAACCACTCCTCATCCAAAAAGAAGAAGGATTAAAGGGATGTGGCTAGTCTCTAAGGACTGCTGAAGCTGGATGCCTCATTGCCCGCCTTTATTTATTTATTTATTTAGGTCTTTTTGAGACAGGGTCTCGCTATGAAGTTCAGGCTGGCCTTGAGCTCACTTTGTAGCCCCGGCTGGTCTCAAACTCGCAGCGATCCTCCTGCCTCAGCCTCCCGAGTGCTGGGATTACAGACATGAGCCACCACGCCCGGCCTCATCGCCGTTCTTACACCCTGGTTCGTTTTGAAAGTTTCTTCAGAGAGCAAACACAGACATGCGCAGTGACCCCCCCAAGTCACCCCATCTCCGCTGCTGCCCGGGGCGCTGACACTGACAGAGGAGGGGAGGGGCTGGGCGCAGTGGCCCCGATCCTCCTCTCCAGGCGCCACCCCCACCCCGCTCCCATGTGACTGCCACCAACCAGGGGTCCAGCTCCCTGGAAGTGGGCGCCCCGGGGCCGGGAGGAAAGCCTCAGGGAGAGGCTGGGACTGGGCTGTGAAGTCCTCCGTCCACGGCCAGATTCAGGGTGTGTGCTGCTTGGCGGCCCAGAGAGAAAGGGACACGGGAAACCTATCTCGCCCATCACGGGGAAGCAGACAGAAGTTCCAGAGGCCCAGGGGCCCAGGGGCCCGGCCTGGCCCCCTCCCCGCCAGGCCGATCGTGCAGACAGGGTCCTGATGCAATCTCAGACCTCGTGCTCAGACACAGCCACAGGGCCCCACCCGGCTTCTGACTCAGGGGCTGAGACTCGGAAGTCCTCTGAGGATCTGCATTTCTTTCTTTTTTGCGGGGGTGAGGTGGGGGGGTGGCGGGTAGGGTACTGGGAATTGAACTCAGGACCTTGCACTTGCCAGGCAGGTGCTTGTGCCGCTGAGCTATATCCCTGGCCCCTGCATTTCTTTCTTTGTTTTTTTGTTTTTGTTTTTGTTTGTTTTTTTTGGTCGTTTTGAGATAGGGTCTCACTATGCAGCTCAAGCTGGCCTTGGGCTCACTTTGTAGCCCAGGCTGGTCCCAAACTCGCACTGATCCTCCTGCCTCAGCCTCCCAACTGCTGGGATTACAGGCATGCACCAAGCCTGGCTGAATCTCTGGAGCTGAAACTTCAGCTGGTCTGAAGGTCACACTGTGTCGCACACTAGGCTAGCCCGAGTCTCGCTGGCCTGACACATTCGGACTAGAATCAGAGTCTCTACCCGGCCATTCGCCCCCGGGTCAGTGGACACCAGGGTTAACGTACAGGGTGCAGCTGGATGAGAGGAACCTTCTACTGCACACCAGGGTGTCTGTGGATGGGAGGGATGAATCATATCTGACCGCCACCAGCGGAGACAACTGTGAACACTCTCAACATCAACAAAGCCATAATGGATTGAGGAATGGATAAGCCCACGACACTGACCTGGTCCCTATACACTCGCTACGCATTTTAAAATATCACACTGTGCCCATAAATATGTACAATTACTATCAATTAATTTTTTTTTTTTAGCCAGGCATGGTGGTATTTACTTATAATCCCAGCACTCAGGAGGCTGAGGCAGGAGGATCACTGTGAGCTTAACCAGCCTGGGCTACACTGTAAATTCAAGGCCGGCCTGAACCACATAATGAGATACTGTCTGGGAATCAAACCCAGGGCCAAGCAGCACTGAGCACTCTAACACCGAGCCAAACTTCAGGCCCCTAGGGCTTAAATTTTTTTTTTTTTAAGCATGGCATAGTGATATATAGCTACCTGGGAGGCTGAGGCAGGAGGATCACAGATTTGAGGCCAACCTGGGCAACTTAGTGAGACCCAGTCTCAAAATGAATATGAAAAGGACCGGGAAAGCTGAGGATATAGCTCAACACAAGCACCTGCCTGGCAAGTGCGAGGTCCTGAGTTGAGTCTCAGTACAAAAAAAAAAAAAAGATGGTCCCTGCCAGTAAAAAAGACTGGGGGATATAGCTCAGTGGTACAGCGCTTGCTTAGGGTTCAGTCCCTAATACCACACACGGGTCCTAGTGTGTGGTCTCCAGCCTGGGCAGCAGCATTACCTGGAAGAAGTGTGAGGAATGCAAACTCCCTGCCGGGTCAGAAGCCCCGGGGCGGTGGCTGTGTTGGAACAAGCCCGGTGACGCGCCTGGCTGCCGTGGCAGTGGGCGGATGCAGTGTGGGAACGGCTGAGCCGGGCTGTGAGTCAGGCTCTGCTCTCAGGCTCCACAGAGGCTGTGGCAGCTCCCATGCCCGCCTGGTGCTTCAGGGCATTGGGCCATGCAGGGTGGGCACCATGCAGGATGGGCAGCCCCCCGCCTGGCTGAACAGGTGAACCTGCTTGGGTTCCCCAGAGGAAGATAGACAGCAGTAAAAGAAGCTGAGAGAAGCTGGGTGTGGTGGCACACGTCTGTAACCCCAGCACTCAGAAGGCTGAGGCAGGAGGATCGCTGTGAGTTTGAGACCAGCCTGGGCTACAAAGTGAGCTCAAGGCTAGCCTGAATTGCATAGTGAGAACCTGTCTCAAAAAGACAAAAAAAAAAAAAAAAGAAGAAGAAGAAAAAGGCTGAGAGAGCCAGGCAAGTAATCTCAGCACTTGGGAAGCTGAGGCTATGGATGCCCGCGGACCCGCACTGGCTGAGGTGACAGACAGCAGTCACCATGGAGATGGCCTTAAGCAGCAGGAGCCCCTAGGTCCCTGTAGTGCAGCCAGCCTCCGAGTGCTGTGACTATGACACTTGCCTAGAACCTAAGCCACCCCAGCAGGGTGGGACCCGAGATCCCCAGGCTGTGGGTAAGGAGGAAAAGACGGACTGACAGCTTCCATCACAGCGAAGGAGGATGTCACGTGCATGCCCATGTACCGCCTGCCCTGGGCAGGCGCATGGCACCTTCTCCTGCCCAGCTGGCATCCTGTGACTGGCTCTGGCCTACTGGCTCTCCGGCTGGTTTCCAGGGTGATGGACAGACAGGGCTGCCCTGGCCTTGCTCTGGGACAGCAGGACACCCGACTAGCACCGAGGGACTTGGGGCGCAGCGGCCACTTTGGGCGGGCCTGTGGCCTTGGCATCTCAGTGCCTCTGTATTCCAGCTGGTAGCCTGGCCAGAGCCACCCCTGCCCCAGGCCCTGGCTGTCACCCTTCCTGGATCTTGCCCAACCTGACAGCAGGTACTGGGGGCCGGTCACAGGGAAAGAGGACAGAGGTTCCCTGTCATCACAGCCATGAGGTCAGTTCAGATCACACAAGTGCGGGAACCGTCATTTAGGAAGTAGCCATTTGTGACACTCCGTCACACACACAACCTAATTTCCATTTCCCCAGAGAGGAGGCTGAGGTGGAATCTGAGAAAAGCAGCTCACCTCCTCTGGCAAGGAGCAGAGCCAAGGAAAGGAACCCACTCCCAGACCCTTCAACTTGCTAAATTCCTCGCTGCCCCAGGGCCTTTGTACTTGCTGTTCCTGCTGCCCCTTGAGCTCCGCCTCCTCCTGGCCAGTACCACCCTGCCACCCAGGTCTCAGCTGAATGCCACCTCCTCAGAGAAGCCATCCTCACCTTAGCATGTGTTTCATCCATTACAGTACATGCATCTACCTGGCATTTTACATTTTTTTCGTCTGATTCTTCCACTAGGAGGCTGAAAATCTTGTCTTTTTTTTTCTTTCTTTCTTTTTTCGACACAGGGTCTCGCCATGTATTTCAGGCTGGCCTTGAGCTCACTATATAGCCCAGGTTAGCCTCAAACTCATGACAATCCTCCTGTCTCAGCCTCCCAAGTGCTGGGATGATAGGCATGCGCATTCACCTGCCTACCTTGTCTATCTTTTCATTCCTTAGAATGAAAGCGGCAAGTAAGACTAAAAATGTAGCCTTCTGCTTGGCAGTTGTGAAGCTACCTACTTTACGTATGTGACAACTCCCTCCGTCCTTACAGTTACCCTCTGAGGATGGTACTGTCTTTACTCCTATTTTACAGACTGGGAAACTAGGGCACAGAGAGGTGAAGCAGCCAGCCAGCACCACCAGCTGCGAAGTGGAGGAGCCAGGATTCACACCGGGCAGGTGGGTCCCAGCGCCTGCCCGGCCCACAAGAGCCACGTGGGGGATGAGTGAGTGAGTGGTCCTTCTCGACGTCCCCGTCTTACCTCCATTGGGGAGCTGAGGGCGTACAGCTGGGACCGCGGCTGCAGCCCTGCCAGGCAGGGTCCAGGGGCTGGGTTTCCTGGCCGCGCCAGCCCCAGGGGCCTTCACGGGGGCAGGGGGCTCCCAGGGCCGGTTGCGCCTGGCCTCCCCAACAGCCCTCCTCACTTCCTCAGTCCCGGCCACGTCCCGGCGCGGGGGCACCAGAGTGATGAACACGGATGAGGCGACCCTCTTCTCCGGCTTCGAGGCCATTGTGCCGGGTCCTGCGGGGACAGGGGCAGAGCAGCTCAGGGCCTCCTCCTCCAGCAGGACGGCGTGGCCATCCCCACCCATGGGCTGGTGACCTTGCCGGCACCTGTCCTCCCCAGTGGGCGAAGCAGGTGCCCGCCAGGTGGCGCGGCCACAGGGGTGGGCCCCAACACCCCGCTGCCTCTCCCTGCAGCAATGACTTTCTTGGCCCCAGAGCCAGGGCCACCCCCAGGCCGCCTTCCTCACCTGGAAGCCTGAATCTCCTTGCAAAGATTTAGTCCTGGAGGTCCCGGGCAGCCTGCTGTGGAGGGGACGAGGGGGAAGGTCAGAGCGCCCCCGCGGGGACCCCGGACCAAGACCTGCTCTGTGCCAGCCTTGCCCGGCGGCCCCCTGCCGCTCCTTAGCTCAGGCTCCAAACCCGGGAACCCGGATGGCGGCAGAGCTGGCCTTTGAACCCGGGGCCTGTGTGCTGAGCCTCCCAGGCTGGGAGCCAGCACCCCCTTCTCGGCCTCCCATTGGCAGCGTCTCTCCGTTGGCCCCATCTCAGGCCTGGGGAGCCGTGGGGGCGGCGGGCGGCTGGTCTCCTTCCCACCTCTAATCCCTTACAGCATCAATCTCTGTAGAGCGTAAATCACAGCTTCCGTCCCCGCTGCCTTCCAAGCTCCCCGCTACTTGAGAATCAGCTCTCCACCCCCGTGGCCGCAGCCTGTTATTCTTTGGCGCTGGGGTGGACCCCAGGGCCCGTGCACCCAGGCAGGTGCTCCGGAAACTGAGCGACACCCCCGCCGAGCACACCGCGGCCCCTGCAGCCGCCCCCACCGCCTGTGCCCTCCGGTCCTTCCGACTCTTTCTCGCTCGCCTGCCCACAGCGTCACCAGTCACCACCGCGTCTCCTCTCCCGCCCAGCAGTGAGATTTTACAGCTTCAGAGACCCACCTCAAATGTCACCTCCCCCGGGCGCCCCGGGCCCTCAGCGGCGGCCTGGGCGATGACAGCCACCACGGGCCACGCGGGGCCACTATCAATGCCTGTGACTCCCACCCACAGTCACCCCGCCTGCCCTCTCCCTGTGCCACTGCCGCTCCCAGTGCGGGCGACAAGGCACAGGCCTGCACCAGGCGACACCCAGTATCAGGGAGGGGTGCGCCTCCTGCAGCCCGCAGCCTCTGGGAGTGAGGCTGCTGAGGACCCCCGGGGTGGGTGGCCACGCTCAGCTCTGCAGTCCTTGCTGGACACCCAGTCACACAGCCCAGAGCTAAAAATGTGTCCTTTATCTCCCTCCTGCTTTTTGGCTGGCACACCTTGACGTGACCCTGCAGCCCTGTACAGGAGGGTGGTGAGGAGGACTGGCGCGGCAGGATTCCAGGGGCCCGGGTGGTGGACTCGGAGCCGAGTGGCCCCTCACAGCCCTCCCGCCATATCTCCAAGTGCACAGGCCCCTGGGCTCTCTTGGGACAGAGCAGCAGTGACAAAAACAACCGTGTACTCTTGTATGTGTACTCCCAAATTCCTCTGAAGTTGGTTTAGGCATTTGGTTAAAAACACGCATAGCCAGTCTGATAATGAAGCAGCTTGGAAAGGTTCCCCCCTCACCCAGGATTAGGGACTGAACTCAAGGCCTTCACACCAAGCTATTTCCCCAGCCCTTTTATTACTTTTTATTTTGAGACAAGGTCTTGCTAAATAGCTAAATCACCTCGCCTGGGCTTGAATTTGCAATCTTCCTGCCTCAGCCTCCCAGAGTGCTGGGATTACAGGCATGCACTACCACAGCCAGTTTAAAAAAATTCTTTATGAGTACTTTCCAAGTGATATTTGGAAGTATATGTTTATAGCGGCTGCCATAGTTTTTCTTTTTTTTTTTTTTTTGAGACAGGGTCTCGCTATGCAGTTCAGGCTGGCCTTGAGTTCACTTTGTAGCCCAGGCTGGTCTCGAACTCGCAACGATCCTCCTGCCTCAGCCTCTCGAGTGCTGGGATTACAGACCTGCGCCACCACGGCCAGCCCATAGTCTTTGATTTTATACTTCATTAGGAGCTTACGAATCTATTTTTGTACAAAATTTTCAGAGTGCGTCTGAAAAAAGACAACACCATGACAGCACTGCCTGTGCCAGGCCCCGTGCCCAGGGCTCTTGGTTCCTCAAAACTCATGAGATTCTCAAGCCAGCTGTAGGGAAGGTCTTCTGTGTCCCCAATTCACAAACCTTCTGAGGCTCCCAGACTTTAAGTGAGTTTCCCACACCATCCATGGGGACACTTAGGATTCCAACAGGAAGTCCAGGGCATCCAAATCGGAAGTCCAGGGTGTCCACAGACTCCACACCACACCCTTTCTAAAAATTAATTTCTTTGAGGCAGGGTCTCACTGTGTGGTTCAGGTTGGCCTTAAACTCACTATGTAGCCCAGGCTGGCCTCAAACTCGTGGCGATCCTCCTGCCTCAGCCTCCTAAGGGCTGGGATTACAAACTTGTGCCACCATGCCCAGAGAGACACCACACACTTTTCTTCCCTGGGTGGACAGCACCCCACCTCTACGTTCCCAGGCTGTTCTCACCCCAGAGTGGCAGGGCCCAGTCAGGTACCTTGAGTTTAGAACTTCAGGGTGGGTCCCAGAACAGCTGCAGACCTTCAGGACTCCCGTTCACCTCCTGGCCTGCTCTGACCCTGACCCACTGCTCCCGGAAGCCGATCTGCCTTTCTCGGAAGGCATATCCAGCCAGATGCTCACAGCTGGTCAGCAGCCCTGAAGCCCCTCCCAAGTGGTGACGGCAGGGACCTCAAGCCCCAAGGGACACGCTGAGCTGGGGATTTTCAAAGGGTCAGATCTCACGGGGAAAGAGGGCTGCGCTTTTCTTTGGTCGCACAGCCATCCCGGGCAGGCAGGTCATTCATCGGTATGTGACCGAGTTCCTAAATTCCCCTCCTGCTGCACGCAGGGACCTTCCACCCTTATATTTACTCCGGAGACCCAGCTGGGTACGCAGGGAAAGTGAGGACAAAGGGAAGGAAAGCCATTTCCTGCCAAGAGGAAGGAAGGAGGCTGGGACGAGCCAGCCACCGGCCAGCTTCAGGCAGCGGCTGGGCAAGGGCCGGCGCGGTGAGGGCCTGCCGGGTCCCAATCCTCGGCCCCTCCAGAAACACCTCCAACCACCTCTCAACTTCCTTCCTCGAGGCCTCCAGAAAGTTCGGGTTTGGGCCCGGGTGAAACTTTGCTGGGGGGTGTGCGCCCCAACGCCGCTCCACAAGGGACCTCATAGCCTCGGGGAAGGGTCCCTGCTCGTCTCCCCCACCTCAGGGACAGGAAGAGGCACAGAGCTGGGTTCCAGCAGCGCCCCACCTCTCTCCTGCTGGGTGACCCCGGACCAGGTCATCCAACCTCTCTGGGCCTGGTCTGGTTCACGAAGTTGAGAATACGAGTCCTTGCGGAGGGCGGCGGCGAAGTCGGGAGAGAGGGCGCTCCAGAGCCCCGCGTCGACGGGTGCGGAGAGGGGGTCGGCCGGTCACCCAGCGCCCGGGGGCGAGGAGGAGCCCCCTCCCCCACCCCAGGCTCAGTTCACCAACACGAGGCGCCCGAATCCGGGCGCTGCCCAGCCTCGGTCCCGGGTCCCCGGATCCGGGCTGGAGGGGGCGACACCAAGATCGCCCCAGGCACCCACCGAGGGGCTCGCCCCGCCCCACGCCCTCCGGCCGGACCGGCACCTGGGGCCCCTCCTCCCCTCGCGACCCCGCAGCTCCGGAAGCCGGGCGCCCCACCGCGGGCAG